ACTCGACATATAAAAATACAATGTTTGTGCAAAGTGATTAACATCCCAGCTAGCACATACTATATAAAAATACTAACATTTTTGCTCATTTTGTATACTTATGGTTACTATTATAATGTCTAGAGTAGACTATGATGTGTTTGACAATGAACTTCAGAGGGTTTTTAACAATGTTCTAGAAAGTTCGTCATGTCTCTAAAGCTTATACTTGTTGTCAAACTTAAACAAAATGTCACCTTAAGTCACACATGTATCAGGACCGGTTCAACCAGTTTGGAGGCTTAAAACCAAAAATTTGGGGCCCTTTAACATTTACTATACTTTATGTTATAAATCCCCCTCGTTTAATGCCCCAGATTCATATTTTCTTTTAGAGATGATTATTGATAATTTAATTAACAATAACTATCACCAAGACAATAAAAAGTAAACAAAAAGTAAATAGTAATGGATTATAGATTTATAGATAGAAAATACCTACTTGGCAAAATGAGTTTTCAACAACCTTGACCTTGATGGCTTGACCCATTGACAAAACTGAGATGGAAATATGGAATTGCAAAACTAAAATTTGTTCCAACCAAAATGGCAAAATGGAATTGCAAAACTAAAATTTGTTCCAACCAAAATGGCAAAATTGTTCCTTCCAATATCCAAAGTCCAAACTTGATTTGGCTGATTCCAAAATCCAAACCTATTCTAAAATCAAACTTCACACAATGAAGATTAAAAAAAAAATACCCCTAATAGATAGACGATAGTCTAATCATGAAAGAAGAATCATCAATGGAGCTTGATTTTTAAATTGACATAGAATCAAAGAGGAAGAACAATACCGTTTGAACAATCAAGATCCAAGAATCGATTTCTTGAACAATCAATATTCAAGAATTGATTTTTTTTTTTTTTTTTTGAAGAATCCAAATGATCACACATCACAGAGAGCCGCCGGGAAAAAGAAGAATGGAAAAGACGAGATCACGACTTCACGAGAAGAACAATCACTTGGCAGAAGAGTATCTCAGTTTTAATCGTGCATTCGTGTATGACTGCGTCGGGCGAGAGAATCCGAAATCAACACCAAAATTAATTAATGGACTTTTGGGTTTAGGGGTCCTAAGCCCTTGCTTACTTTGTATACATGTAAAGTCGGGCCTTATATGTATATAAAAATGAATAATTAAATCTTTTAGCTCACATGTTAGTTCAAAGAGACTATGGATAAATTTGGTTCAAATAACAATACAAATGGATGTGGGATGAGAAGGAAACGATTAAGAGAAAGAAAAAAAGAACATTATATTTTATTATTACCTAGTGGATTTTTAAATATTTTAAAATTGGGTTTGTATTTTATTTATTTTTCTATAATTTATAGTTTTTAAATCCCGTTTAGACTTTATATATTTATCAATAATTTATAACTTATAGTTAAATATAAGGCTATTAGTTCGGTTTTTTATAAAACCACAACTAAGCCTATACTTATTGCTTGGAAAATTGGGAATCAAACCAGGGTTTTGTTGATCAATTCAGGTTTAGTTTGTTTTTTTGTTTATAATGTTCCCCCTTCTTCCAATGGGAAAATGACTTAAAAATGTAATAATGTTTCAAAAACGTACAAAAACACCATTATTCTTTTTTTAGTGAAAAAAATACCATTAAAATGAAAATTTTGTACAAAAAATACCAACAAAATACAAATAACCTTTTAGAGTGACCTCAAGTAACCGGTTACCTCAGGTCAACTATTGAACATGCTTTAATAACCTTCATTCATCAAATTAGGGTTCCATCTTCATCCCCCTTCTTCATCTCCTTTGGCTCCTATGACATCTTCAAGTTCATCAAATTATTCTAAGTCAAATTCGAACATTTCCAAGAGTAGGAGCACAATTAATTATGCCCACCCTTGTCACTGTGAGAAGTCTTCCCAAGTTTGGACCTCAACTACGACTAATAATCCGGGTAGAAAGTTCAGAGTATGTCGTAACTTACTAGTAAGTGGTTCTAGCATCTATCATCTACTTCTCCTTCATACTTAATTTATTATGTATATTGAAGGATAAGAAGAAGAAGAAATGTGATTTTCTGGGAATGGGTCGATCAAGATGAAGAACTAATAAAAGAAGACAACACTGAAGTCAAGATATCAATATTGGAAAATAATTTTTGGACACATAAGGTGAAGGCAGATAAAGAATCAATGAGTTTCAGAAAAGACTTCAATAAATTAACTAGGAAATATTGGAATCTCAAATGTTGTGTGTTTGTAACGACCCAAATATCACGACTAAAATTTTCTTTTTAAAACATTACTAAAACTAGATTCATAAAAACCGTATCATAAATCATAACATAATTTCGTAGCTTTAATTCGAAATACAAACTTATTATCAGAGTAAAACATCCCATGCTAGCTGACTATGGTGTGTGCACTGCAATCTTTCCGAGCTCCTCTTTTGAAAACTGAGTACCTGAAACCAAAAACTGAAACTGTAAGCACGAAGCTTAGTGAGCTCCCCCAAACTACCACATACCATACAATAACATATAAAGCACATACTGGGCCTTACCCACTGCATCGGACCGAGGTCCGGACTAACTGGGGCCTTGCCCCCTGCATCGGACTGAAGTCCGGAAACTGACTGGGACCTTGTCCCCTGCATCGGACCCAAGTCCGGACTAACTGGGGCCTTGCCCCCTGCATCGGACCGAAGTCCGGAAACTGACTGAACATAGCATAGCATAACATATCAACTAGCATGAACACATATGTTGCATACTGCATCGGGCCGTAGCCCGGAACACATAACACATAAATCCTGTCTGAGCCACGAAGGCATCAAACATACTAACTACTTCATCGGACCGAAGTCCGGAAACTACTGCTAACTGAACGGGCCGGCATTGTGGCCTTAGACCCGTTCCTACTGGAAGGAAACTCACCTGAACTGCTGAATTCTGCTGGTAACCCTCGGACTGCTAACCAACCACCGTCTGAAACGCTGCTCCTCTAACTCTCCGAGCTACCAATAACAAAGCGACACTTAGCCTGACAGTCCTCTAAAAGTCAACTAACTCAACTCCGATCAAAGTCAAAGTCCTGGCCAAAGTCAACCTTCCATGTTGACCCTACTCGCCGAGTCAGTCTACTAACTCGCCGAGTTCACTAATTTCCGAGTTCTATACTGTCTAACTCACTGAGTCCCCACTCAAATCACTAATCTGAGCCTTGACTCGAAGGGTTTGGGGTTTCGCGACTTGACTCGCCGAGTCCAAGAACAGACTCGCCGAGTCCAAGGCAATCTTCAACAGACTCACCGAGTTGTTCATCCAACTCGTCGAGTTCGCCTCCATCTTCATACTACTCGCCGAGTCCACTCAAAGTACTCGCCGAGTCTATTCAGTCCTTAATCCATGCAGTGGCTTTTCGAGCCAAACAGGGCTTCCAACTCATAGATCCATACTTCTAAGGCCTATCCCTCACGTAAAGTGGCAAACTTTACGTGTAGATCAAGAGATCTAGGCTTAAAACAATCCAAACTAGGGTTTAAGACAAAGAGGCTTCACTATCAACCCAAGAAAGGATGCTTAATGACTTTCTAGGCCAAGATACACTCAGATCTGAAAGTAGCAACTTCAGATCTGGGCTTCTAACTCGAAATAGTTCTTATGCATGGCATAAAAGCCCCAAATCTCATAGCCAAGGTTGATCTATTAAACAAAAGAGGGAAGGTAACAATTTATTACCTTTAAATGCTCATAAATGTTCCACCAACTCTGGATCCAAGGCCCCCTTCTTGCTCCGCTATGACTATCTTCTCTCTCAAGCTCCAAAAAGCTTCACCAAGGGTAGATCTTGCTCCAAAACGATTATGGCGGCTAGGGTTTAGTGTTTTGTGTTAGAGAGGCTGTAAAGGAGCCCTGGGGGAGAGAATGAGACGTTTAAATAAGCTCCAAGTCCCGTATTTAGGGTTTTCCTTGCTCAGACCAGACTCACCGAGTCACTTTGGCCGACTCGCCGAGTCGGTCGCTTGCACCTCCCGGATCCCGCTCGGACTCGCTGAGTCCCTCCTTGGACTCGCCGAGTCTCCCCTTAAAATTGGGGTTTTCTTTCTTTTCTTGGCTTTTCAAACTTTGGGTGTTACAGTGTTGTTGTTCTTTGTTATGATTTTTATGTATGTTATGTTGAAATGAAATGAAAATTGTAATGTAATGACGTTGATAATGTATTTAGAAAGTTTGGTTAATTAAAAGTCTTGTATTGGAATTGATTCAATGTTTTATGGAAATAAATTTAGTTTTGATAAAGGAATGGGACCAATGATTCGTAAATATAGTTGAGTGCTCATACTGGAATGGAATCAGCGATTTCTAAAATGGAATGGAATTATTGATTAATGCTTAATATTGATTCTTCACACGGGAATGTAATTAATGATTCCTGATTAATTGTCATTGTGTATATTGAAATGGAATTAATGATTCCTGGTTAATATTGATTCTTCACACAGGAATGGAATCAGTGATTCCTGGAATGGAATGGAATCATTGATTATTGCTTTATATTGATTCTTCACACATGAATGGAATTAATGATTCCTGATTAATAGTTATTGTGTATATTGAAATGGAATTAATGATTCTTGGTTTATATATTGGGAAAAAGTTGGACCACATATTGGATTGGCCTTGTCCCTATCCTTGTCCATAAATATAAACCACATACATTATCAAAGTGGGACCACTTACATTAAATATAAACAAGTTATCAAAAGTCACATTACACCTAACCACATGTAGCTAAGTAGCTTCATCAGTTTTTGACGTAAATGTAAGCAAGACATCAAAAGAGGTGCCCAACAAAAGATTCCCTACCAAAAGATTCCCTCCACTAAAGCTAAACAAAGATCACGAAGACAAAAGGTAAGAAAAGATGCCCTTCACAAAAGTTCTCCCCATTACCGCTCCTAGAGTGTGAGAGGATTTTCAAGACTTCACCCTGTATCATCCTTGGTCACCACTTTCCTCCTCAACCTAAGTTTTGTGTTCCTCTGAGAAGGACCACACTTTCTCATTTTCAAAGTTGGAGCAACCACATGCTGGTTTCCAGGATTCACCACTTCTTCATCAACCACTTGTTCAACCTGCACCTCTAAATCATCCTCTGAATCTCCTCCAACTTCTTCCTCTGAATCACCTTCGACCTCCTCCTCTAAATCAACTCCAACATCCTCAGCTTCCCCATGGCCTTGTCCCTGTCCTTCTCCCCGTCCTTTCCCTTGACCCTGTCCCTCACCCTCAAATAGCTCATGCTAATCAAAGAGATCTGAATCATCTACTGCATTAAGCTGTTTCAGAGGGCATTTCCTCTTGTTATAACCTGGTTGGGAACATAAATTGCATTTAGAAGTGGTCCCAACTTTGCTAACAGTGTGTCTGTCACTTCTTTCTGAAATGCATTTCCTCCTGTTTATCTTTGGTCTGCCAGGCATTGTTCTACGCTTTGGTGGTAAGATGGTATTCATATCTTTTGCTGGCCACATTTTACGTCCATTTATTGGCTTAACATTATACCTGTAGCAACTTCCAAACATTTGTGTTGTGTACCAAATTGCTACATACTCCTCTGTGTTCCCATTCAAGCACAAGATTACAGAAATAGCATGAACACATGGTATACCTGTCAGCTGCCATGATCTACATCCACAGGTTCTTTTATCTAAGTCAACTGCATACACCTCATTCAACCATCTACTCTCATATTGATGAATACCACCTGGAATTACTCCCCAAAACCTGTTATAGAATTGTAACATATAAGTTAGTATTTATATATATATATATATATATATATATATATATATATATATATATATATATATATATATATATATAATGTATAAATAACCTCTATCTCCAAGTTCCACTTCAGTCCCTTCCTTTTCTGAGTAAACATCATTTCCATGACATACACTCTAATATCTTCCAACATTGCTATTATTGGTTTTTTTCTAGCTTCCACAATAGTTGCACTAAATGACTCTGATACACCATTTTCAATGGCATCACTACCACTATCTTCCCTAAAAAATGCACTAGACCATGTGTTTGGGTTTTTTTTTCCCATCAGGTGTTCATAGGCATTACTGACAATCAGTTTGATCTCATTCATGATATCTTCAAATTTTGTGGTTGTTGTGGCCTTGGCAGCAAACCAGAAAAGTTTTCTGTATTCAGCTCCTGAGAATTTTTTTCTTAAAGTTGGCATAAACATGCCTAGCACATTGTCTATGCTCACATTCTAACACTCTTTCCTTAACTGCTTCAATGGGTCCCTATTAACTAACATTTTGATGTCATTATAAATTAAAAATAAAATAGAAATATTATTATTAAAAAAACAGTTGAGTACCTTGTGTTGGTCAGATATGATGGTTAGTCCTCTACCTTGTCCCATATCAATGTCTTCAAGTAATAGATCCAAAATCCATTTCCAATTTTCCTGATTTTCAACTGGTACAACAACCTGGGCTAGAGGATACATTTGGTTATTAGCATCCTTACCAACAGCTGAAAGTACCTCACCTCTACAAAGTCCCTTCAAAAACATCCATCTACACCAATCACTCTTCTACACCCCTCAATCCAACCATCCTTCACAGCCTTCAAGCAAATATACATCTTAGAAAAATGGACTGTAGAATCAAGCATGATATCCATGTTAACACGTTGTCGCATGCGTATTAAGCAAATAAATTATCACTGCTGGTTGCACTAAAAATTAGCACAGGGAAGCAGGGTCGAATCCTCAGAAACACAGCCTAATGGTCAATGCCTTTTTGCATCAGACACAATCTAGTCAAGAAACAAAAAAAAATATAAAAAGGGGGTTTTGAATTAAACTAAAAACTAGAATTGCAGTGATATTAAACTAAATGAAAATCAATAATAAAAACGATTTCAGCTCTGCTGCGACTTTCCTAATCATGTAATAAATATTGACTTGGTTATTTGAGATGTGTTCTATCTAAGTTGGTACTGAGAAAAACTAACAAGCTCTAGTAATTTTTCTTTTACCTAAATTAGTTAATCAAAACAAGCTCTTCAATTAACCCTAACTTTTTACTGTCTAATCAAACAAGCTCTTAATTAAATCAGAAAAGTTGCATTATAATCTATGTAAAATTCCCAGCAATATCTAATACTTCTCACAGGCTCGGAAGCGTAAAGATATGATTTTTACAGTTTATACCAGAGTTAAATCCCAAAACGGAACAAATCTGATACTTGTTACTTTTACCAGTTTACAAGAACAATTACGGATTCTATTAACTGATTAACTGGAATGATAAAACCCTAGCTAGGTGATCAAACTAACAAGAATCAAAATCAAACATTCATTAAAAACAAAATTGAAGAATCTAGATAGAAACACAAATTAAAAACCAAATCTAACGATCAATCACATGAAAAGTACTTGTCTTTGCAGAACTGAAAACTAGGGTTTAGCCAAACATGGCTAAAATATGATCAAAATAGATAAAAAGATACATCAAACAACTAATTTTACTAATCTACTTGAAGGGGATGATCCACAGTCTTCAGATCTTCAGAAATCATTGAAATCAGAGAAGAAACGCCTCCAAAATCGTATTTTCATCGTCTGATACATCTGGCATTGTCAACTTAGGTTACTGGAAGGTTATAAGGTCTATTTATACGTCCAACAGCAAACACGGCGCACCTGCGATCGCAGGTTTTGAAATAAACACGTCTGGTGCCTTTTTAATGAAGTAGGATACTATTCTGGAACTTTTTGGCCAACCTGCGATCGCATGTACACAACCTGCGATCGCAGGTTTTCATTTTTCACTTCCGGATGAATTTTGGGCACAAAATAACCTCGAAGGCAACCTGCGACCAAACCTGCGATCGCAAGGAGACAACCTGCGATTGCAAGTTGTGCCTATGACGTCCAAAATTCCGCCTACTTTTTAGATCATGTGGAATCACATCAATCGGAGTTACGGTTCTCGAGATATGGTCAAAATACTAACAGGGGGTCAAAGCTGCCAGCAACATCCTTTAACTTTCGATTGTATATTCTATCTCCGTGTGATCAATTCGATCGAATGTTTCTTGACCAAAACATCTTAAAATCATTCCTCAACATACTCCATAAGTCCCAAGCTCCATTTTAAGCTCCAAACGCGCATCCAACTGCTCCCAAAGCACTGCTCCACTCGAACTATCTGAAATTGACATAAAAACATGAGCAGTACGGGAATTCTAACGAAAGACATGAGTTGAATATTATTTAAATAAATGACATGCAAATGTACAAAATATGATGCTAATATTGATGATAAAAACTACCATATAAGATGCATAAAATGGCATCTAACAATCCACCTCCAATTTCACTATGGAACCTGGATTAGTCCTCAATAACTCCAAACCATAACTCCTAAGGTTTTCATAATGTGCCACTAAGCTCCTTTTTATCTCATCCATTGCAAAATTTTTGGCATTTCTACACTAACCAAAACTAACTTTTAGATTAAAATCTCTAAGGACTGCTGCTGCCATTTTCTAGTAACTTATTCTTGGATTATCTATTATAGTTTCTATTAACTGTTTTCCAATCCAACTATATGTGACCATTGAACCTAAATTGAAGGCCCTACTACAATTATGTTCAAAGATTAAGGACTTAATCTGAAATGATCTTTCTTTACTCATCCAAGTTGCCCACAGCCTAAAAGGTCATTTAGACTTCTCTTCACATTTGCAACATCTAACTAATAATCTAGTTGAATCGTTTTTTTATACCAAAATTTATACCCATTAGCAACAACATAATTGCTTAACAAATGCTTAAGTTCATAACGATCACAAAATTTCATACCTAAGACTGGAAACATTGTATCCCATTTTTGGTTAGGATCATGAACTGGATACTTATGAATATCTTTCTTGACATCTTTCTTATCATCTTTCTCATCATCCACAACTCTTGGAGGCTTGAAAAATTTTCTTCTAATGAAAGGATCATTAGATGGTTGTAGTTGTATCACTTCATCATCAAGCTCATGCTCCACGAACTCATCATCTGAAAGCTCAGAGTCTGCATCATCATCATCATCCGTATTACCATCTATCGATCCATCTTCAGCTATCTCTTCTTCAATCCACTCCATAACTGGATATTGACTGTGATTAATGTACAAATTGATCATACCCCCATTCTCATATCCAGCATCAAGGAAACGAACATAATCATTTCCATCTTCCAAGACTCTTAACCCATCTCTCAGTGAACGTTGTGAAGACAATAGTACACATTGATTGTTTCATCCTTGACCAAGTTCTTCACATACAAGATGAACTCCATGAAACTCATGCTTCTGAAATCGACATTGCTAACAACCATTTTTACTGGATTGAAACACACAATCGGTTTGGGGACAAAAGAACCTGTATGATTTACTTCGATTGTGAAGTTGGAATCCATTGTGATTCTGTGGAAAGGATGAACGAACAAAGGAGAAGGAAAGAACCCTTGATTTTGGGGGAAATAACGAAGGGTAATGGCACAATTATTCTCATAAATCTTTTAACCGGCTAACCTATAATACCAGATCACATGGTATTTTTCACTAAAAAAATAATGGTGTTTTTTATACGTTTTTGAAACATTATTACATTTTCAAGTAATTTTCCCTTTTCCAAATACAAATAAAAGGTGCCCTTAAAATTAAATTTTAACAGGCCAGCTTATTTTTCTGGAAGTATTTGATAATGCCCGCTATTTTCTGCTGAAATGAAACATACCACCATCACCATGTTCCGCTTCTCCGCCTTCTTCCGAACTCATGCTGTTCGCTACTCCTCACTGTCGCCCATTCATGAAACCTCCGCCGATCGGAAACCTCTTTTGATGGTCGATTATCTAGTCGATTCCCTCCACTTCTCCAAACAAGACGCCGTCGCCGTCTCCTCCAAAGGTAAACTAACCAATCTCAGATCCCCAATTAATTCCGATTCAGTTCTTAATCTCTTAAAAAGTTACGGATTAGACCTTTCCCAGATCAGACAAATCATCTCTTTTGCTCCAAAAATCCTTAGTTGCAAAGCCAGCAAAACCCTAGAACCCAAACTCAAGGTTTTTCAGGAACTCGGGTTATCCGGATCGGATCTTGTTAGTCTCATTAAGAAGAACCCTGAGATTTTCGGGTATGGTCTACATACCCGAATCATGCCTGGTCTCGATCTCCTTAAAAAGTTATTGGGTAGTGATGAAAAGGTGATTGAAGTTATCAACAAATCAAGATGGTTGTATGTGACAACTTCTTCCATGAAACGACTATCAACAAACATCTCCCTGTTGCAGACATTTGGTTTATCAAACGAGAGAATCATGAAGTTCATGTTAGGTAACCCTGAAAAGCTCATGGCAGATCCAAAACTGCTCCAAAGTAGGCTGAGTTATGTAGAAGAGAAATTGGGAATTTCGCGTGCGTTACCTAGTTTTATCCATGCTGCAAGTGTAGTGTTATGGTCTAGTGATTCAGAGGTGGAGAAAAGGATGAAAATCTTTAAGAGTTTTGGTTGGTCTGATTCTGAGATTTCTTTGTTGTTTAGGAATCAACCTTATGTTTTGAACAAATCCGAAGGTAACATTCGTGAAAAGTTGGAATTTTTCATGAAGGAACTTGGGTATACACCTGCATACTTGTTGAGTTGCAACACTTTCTTCACGTTAAGTTTGAATAAAAGGGTTATACCGAGGAACACTATGTTGAAAATCTTGAAAGAGAAGAAGTTGGTGAAGGATAAGTTATCTCTTATTACAATTGCAACTTACTCTGAGGTAAGGTTTCTCGAATTTTTGAAGGGTTTTGAGAATGATATACCCGGTATTTGTGAAACTTACATTGATAATGTTGAAAGAGTTTCTTGAGTTTGGTAACGAAAATTTTGTTACTTGAAAAGGTAAAGCGACTTTGAAGAACATTCATGTAATTGAGCTACAAGATTCTTGGTGACTGTTTATGTCTTTCAAGTTTTTATGTATGAGCGATTTACTTGTAGGAAAACTAGACATTCTTGTAGGGTAGGAGGTGATACTGAATACGAGAATTGTTGTAGAACATGAGCTCAACCATTATCTGTATTTGAAATGAGTGATATGATCTCCTTTTTTTAAATAATATTTGGTTTGTTGGCTAATTTATGTAATTGTTAATAAGGGTTAATGTCGCGTTATTTGGTTTTGTCTTTTTGGCATTTGGTGTTATCTCTACATCTTTCTTCCAAGATCTGGAGAGAATAAAAATCAAATTATATTATATAACCTTTTATAACATTGAAGCTTATATTATAGATTATACTAGTTACTAGTTATACATACCAAATAAATAAAAACAGGATTACAACATATCAAGATCCCTAACAAACAAAAAAAGACCATTTCTTTCCAATTTCCATCACCTAGGGCCCGATAATTCAACCGCATGCAAGTTATCAGTTGAGTCAAGAATCCAATCAGAATTCGGTAGCGGCATAAGATCAAGTTCATGGCGGAGCACCTCCACCTTCTGCCACTCA